CCCCCCCCCCCCCCCCCCCCCCCCTCCCCCACGCCTCCTTCTCTGGGTTTTTCCTTACTGATCACGCAAGAGGCCAGGATGGTTCATGTGATTACGTCGTCGTACATGTTGCCACTGCCGTTTCCGAGAGGGATGAAGAAGAAAGAAAAGTACTTCCAGAAACAGAAAAGCATTCATTCATGACAGACAACTTTATTACGAGACCCAAGAAGTGCCAAAAAAAAACCCCTATAAAAAAATAAAAATAAAAATAAAACTCGAGGACTTCTCTGTATCTATTGGTATCTATTTCAGGATTCAAATATTACGGATACTCCAGTACTACATATGCTAGTAGTATGCTAGTAGTATACACTAGCAGAGTAATCTGTACGTATAATAACATCTCGTACCAGCGAAATGATTTCTTGGCTTGATCCAAGCGATCCAACCACTGGCCTATCCCCTACAGCCTTCACCCCTCCCCCCCCCCTCCCCCCCTACGCGCCAGTACGATGGCCGTAACCCCTGGAAGGGTGGGCCGTGATACATTATATATGGGCCTAGACACGCCCACAGACCAAGTACCAATGCCGTGCATCCATCAGGAAGACTACGGGCGGGCTGCCGTGTACCCAGCTGCACAGCCCCCCCCAGTGGTGCTTCACGACGCATGCCACTGACGGGATAGACAGGTTGATGTACTGTACTCGTACAAAGAGGCACTGCTCAGGCTGCCTACAGTCTGCCCGTCGCATTCCAAGACTCCAAGTAGATATACCTGTATTCGCCAATAATAGATAATGCCCCCCCCCCCCCCCGTACATTGAATGTCAGAGAGTCAAGACATTTATTGCCAGTTGAGTACAAGAAACTTGGAACCTTAGCCCACCCACTCACTATATCTGGAAGCTAGAAGGGCTACATCCACTGTAAATCACCGTGCCGCACCGCTGTACTTCGACTATAAGCCCCTACGAGTATCGAAACCGTAGCACCCGTCCAGCACCAAATTCGTCCTTCCGTTTTCAGACCCTTTGCTCACCTGCCCACCCCCCTTGTCCAATACTACGTACTCGTGCTCTCTCTTTCTCTCTCTCTCTCTCTCTCGCTCATCTCTCTCTCTCACTCGTTGCGTATACGAGTACGTCTCTGTTGACCCGCTTCTGGTTCCCGCTCCATTTATCGCCCCTGCTGCTGCTCACTCCCCTGGTAATTACGACCGCTGCTCTTGCTGTCGCTCCTCCTTCTCCCTGCTCCTCCTCCTCCTCGCCCTCCATCCCGACACCCTTCTTGACGAAGAAAACGACGACGAGACAAACGACAAACGACGCCATCGCCCGGCTACTCTTCCGACGCCCTTTGTCCTCTCGTCCTCGGCCCTCGTCGAGAAAGAGAGAAAGAAGCGCGCTCCGACAGCTCCTGTTCTTCTCTCTCTTCTCGTCATCCTTGTTCTCCTCGTTCTCCTTTTCGTTGTTCCTTCTCCTTCTCCGTCGTCCACCTTCGCTCGCTTACGCCGACACCCCTTTCTTAACCAACGCACGACCATTGTGATCCGGCCGGTCTTCGATCCCCTCGGACGCGCGTTCCCGCTCGCTCTCTTCGACTACGGCCGCCTTCTTTTCGCCAAACTTTCCCAACCACCAAAACCAGAGCGTGACTCGTTGACGACGCCTCATCCGTTCTCTTCACCATCACCTTGGTCAACCACCCACCACCGCCACACGCGACAAACCCCGTTTGCCGTCGAAGCCGTCTCTCGCTTAGCTGTGTCTTGTTTGATCCACACACATCATATACCACAATTACGGCAACAACAACAAAAACAACAACCAGCGAGGAAACAGAATAAATCCACGCAAGGATTCTAATCAATCAATAAATCGTAATACGCGCACGCACGCATACAGCAACCAGCTCTTGAGCCCCCAACATGAGGTGGTCACTAGCCCTGTCCGCCTTGGCGGCCTTGTCGCCCTTCGCGGCGGCCGAGCGCATGCTCGTCTCCAAGTCGCTCAGTACCTGTCAGCAAGACTCGAGCTTCTCGGCCAGCCTGTTCCACGTCGTCTACACGCCTCACAACAACAGTGCCAGTATCAACATGGCCATCACCTCGTCCGTTCAGGGTTACGTCGTCTTCGACCTGGCCATCACCGCCTACGGGTACCAGGTCATCCGCCAGACCATCAACCCCTGCGAGACCGAGCTTCAGGGTCTCTGCCCCATGAACACGGGTAACCAGGACATCGAGTTCCCCATCCCCATTCCCGAGGATGCCGCCTCGGAGATCCCCGGCATCGCCTACACCGTCCCCGACCTGGACGCCAAGGTCAAGGTCTTCGTCAACATGACCAAGACCGACGAGAGCGTCGCCTGTATCGAAGCGGAATTCTCCAACACCAAGACGGTCGACCTCATCGGTATCAAGTGGGCCACCGCCGTCATCGCCGGTCTTGCTCTCGTCTCCTCCGCCGTCATCTCCGGTCTCGGCCACACCAACGCTGCCGCCCACATCGCCGCCAACTCGCTCGCCCTCTTCAGCTACTTCCAGGCCCAGGCCATGGTCGGCCTCACCGCCGTCGACATGCCCCCGATCGCCCAGGCCTGGACCCAGAACTTCCAGTGGTCCATGGGTATCATCAAGGCCCCCTTCATGCAGACCATCTTCACCTGGTACCAGCGGGCCACCGGCGGCACCGCCGCCACCATCTTCGACTCTCTCCGCACCCACTCGGTCCAGGTCGAGAAGCGGGCCCTCATCGGTGGCCCCTCTGCCGCCTCCGCCGGCCTCGACCTGTTCAGCCGGGCCGTCGCCAAGATGCCCCGCGACACCGCCGCCGCCATGTCGTCGCACCTCTCCAGGCGTGGCAACATTGAGCTGGGCACGGGCAACTACCTCGTATACGGTATCCAGCGTGTCGCCTTCAAGATGGGCATCGAGACGACCAACCTGTTCGCCACCTGCCTGACCTTCTTCATGCTCTTCGCCTTCTTCACCATCCTGGCCGTCCTCGCCTTCAAGGGTCTCTGCGAGCTGCTCACCAAGAAGAAGGTGATGAAGACCGACCAGTTCCTCGACTTCCGGAACGGGTGGGTCACCATCCTCAAGGGCATCCTGTTCCGCGTCACCCTGCTCGGCTACCCGTCCATGACCATCCTGAGCCTGTGGGAGTTCTCCCAGGTCGACTCGCCCGCCCTCGTCGTCCTCGCCGTCTTCTTCTTCTTCGGCATGACCATCACGCTCGGCTGGGGCGCCTTCAAGGTGATCAGCATCGCCCGCCGCTCCGTCGCCATGCACCGCAACCCCGCCTACATCCTGTTCTCGGACCCCCAGGCGCTCAACAAGTGGGGCTTCCTGTACATCCAGTACCGCGCCTCGGCCTACTACTTCATCGTGCCCACCATGGCCTACATCCTCGTCAAGTCCATGTTCGTGGCCCTGGCCCAGAAGAGCGGCATCACCCAGGCCATCGCGCTCATCATCATCGAGGTCGCTGCCCTGATCGGTGCGTCGGTCCTGCGCCCCTGGATGGACAAGCCCACCAACTCGTTCAACATTGCCATCCTGGCCGTCAACTTCCTCAACGGCATCTTCCTGCTCATCTTCACCAACGTCTTCGGCGCCCCCGGCCTGGTCGTCGGCGTCGTCGGCGTCGTCCTCTTCATCCTCAACGCCGCCTTCTCGCTGGCGCTCCTGCTGCTCGTCATCATCTCGACGTCGCTCGTCTTCTTCCGCAAGGACCCCGACACGCGCTACCACTACATGGCCGACGACCGCACGTCGTTCATGAAGTCTCAGACCCAGCTCAACGCCACGACGGAGCTCGACGCCCTGGCCGCCACGGCCCGCGGCGACAAGGCCGGCTACAAGTCGCAGCTCGACCTCGACGACGACAACGACTCGGTCTCGTCGGACAGCATGCGCCGCCGCACGGACCCTTCGTACATGGAACTCTCCGCCGGCCACCCCGTAGCGGGTGGCGGCGGCGCTGGTGCCCGTCCGCGCTCCCCCGTCAACCCGAGCATGCCTCTCTTCCCCTCCAACAGGCCCGAGTCGCCCTTCCGCTCCAACTCGCCGAGTCCGTACGGCCAGTCATCGTCGGGGGGCGGAGCCCAGGCCGCCTCGTTCCGCGCACAGAACAACTCTAGGTATGTTTCTCGCCTGCCCATGCCCCGACCTCTCATCCGTGCACTGCCCTCACGAGCATATTTGCTGACGAATTCTAGTCCCTGGCAACGCGGAGCCGGTTACGATCACTAGAGGAGAAGGACAAACCCATAATTCTTTTCTCCTTCCTCATCGATTCTGTTGATATAAAAAAAGGGAGGGAAAACACGGTCAAGCTTGTCTTTTCTCTCTCCTCTTCTTCTTCCTTTTGTCTTATAAAATGATCATTTGCTTGAAATAGGCGTTGGTTTGAAAACATGATTCACACACAAACTTTTTCTTTTTCCCTCTCAACTATTCTGTAGTCTCGCGCGTCTGGTCACTTTTTGCTCTCTCGTTCGCCTAGGAATCACGAGGTGGCGAGGATGACAACATCACACACAACCTGTCTTCTCTTTGTTTTTTGTTTCTCTAAACAGACTAACCCTCGACAAACTACTCCATATTGTATATACACATATATTTCTCTACCCTGTTCCCTCTTATCTTCACGCTGCCTCGTGCAAGACAGTAAACTGGACCGAGGCTTCTTGCCCCATGAGAGGGCGCAAGATGCATGCGCTCGCCCACTCATGAGAGTGGAAGACGATGGGGTTCCCGGATAGTCAGGAAACTATGGGAATCATCTCCCGACTTGACTGTCCGGCCTGGACTACTAGTACTAGGACCATACGAATGTCACCGAAAAAGTTAGTTTGGTGGGAACGTAAACATGACGACTCGCGATATGTCCTTGGCCGTTGAATCAGGGACTTTTGAGTATACTCATCAAAAGTTCCCGATTCAAGTATGGGTTACCATTGATGGGCTGTGATCAGATTGCTCTATATATTAGTAGAGTAAGTACGAGTTTCGAGAAGCAAAGTATCGACCATACGAGATGAAAGAATAGCATTCCTAGATATTACCGAAAACAAAACAAAAATTGTTGTATCAATTCTTTTATTCTTTTCGAAACATATTCTCTAGAATACTAATACTATACAGAGACAAATCTGGAGGTCCATGAGAACAACCCCCCCCCCTCCTCTCCAACCTCCGATCGCTTTACACTTGGTAGTACACAACTCCCTGACGAAAATGTACGACAGGAAGCCATCTGAGCTGTAAAAAGACATAGAAAGGGGAAAAAAAAAAAGGGAGGGGGGGAGGAGAAGACATGGAAAGAGATGAGAAAAATGTAAAGTTACAATATTAAATGTTGGGAGTAACAAAGTAACAAAGAAATAGAAAGAAAAAGAATTCGCGTGATAGGGTAGGTTGTGCAACATGAATTAAAATACTCCATTTTACCGAAGAGAAAAAGGGAAAAAAAACACCATCTGGACCCAAGTGTCCTGTATTAGGAAGAGCAAATGTAAGGAAGAAGGAGAAGGACATGTAGGAAAGAAAGGGAAGAGGGAAGAAGAGAGAAAAGAACAGACAATGCGACCAGACAGAGAAGTACAGAAGAAGAAAAAGAAGCGAGAGAGAAGCTTTCAGAACTGGAATCCCTGCTGCATCAGCTTATCCACATCCCCCCCAGCCGCAGCAACAGCCTTGATGGCCGCTTCGCTGAGCTTCCTCCTCCGGTCCATGGCCTCCTTCTCCCTCCTGGCCTTCGTCTTTGAACTGCCGCTTGGGGCCACGCCGGTCATGAGCATGCTCCCGTCGTCGGGGGTGAAGTTGACGAAGCCGCCACCGTTCTCAAAGGAGAATCCACCGGCGCCGGAGCCGACGCTGGCAGACGAGGCTGTCGCGGCGGCGGAGGCAAGGTTGGTGCTGCCTCCGCTGGGATCTCGCGAGCGACGTTTCCGCACGCCAGAGGGCGTTCCGGGGACGCTGGTGGTGACGGCGGGCTGACGGCCGGAAGCGCTCCGCGCGGACGACGAGACGGAGCCTCCGGAGCTGTGACGCTTCTGGGCGGGCGTGCCGCGCGTGGGGGACGCGGAGGGGGCGCGCGTCTTGCGCACGGGCGACACCGAGAGGTGGCGGGCGCCGGAGGAGGGGGCGCGGGGTGGGCGATGCGACGTCGCCTGCTGATGGGCCGGCGGCATGAGCGGCGGCGGCGGCGGCGGCGGTTGCAGCTGCGTCTGAGCTGTCATGTGCAGGTCGTTGGCGATGGAGTGGTGACGCATCCGGTGGTGATGCTGAGGCTGGGGCATCTGTATCATCAGGCCGCTGTCGTCGGGCACGACGACGACATGCCCGTGCTGCTGCTGCTGCTGGTGCTGGTGCTGGTGCTGATGAAGGTGGGCCTGGTATTCGTAGGGGAGGCCGGCCTGCTGAGAGTGCATGGCCATGTTGATGTCCGCGTTGCGCGGGTCGACGTACTCGCCGTTCTGGTTGACCATGTTGAGGTCCCACCACGACGAGGAGTCCATCATGTCACCGCCGCCACCATTCCACTGGCCTGCCGACGACGACGACGACGACGCCGGCAGGGAGCACGACTGGTGACGCTGCTGGGGCTGGTGGACCTGCCAGTCTGGCGGTAGCGTCCCCGGCATCTGCGGCTCTGCCTGGAACGACTCGGCCTCGTTCTTGATGCCGGGGGAGTTGAGGGGTGATGAGACGTCGTGCTGGTGGCGGTGGCCGTAGTGGGGCGGCGCCAGGTTGGGCACGTCCGTGAAGGGGTCGTCGCAGCTGCCGTGGACAAAGCTGCCGTTGCCAGCGTTGACCTCGTTCATCTGCTGCTGGCTGGGCATGGGCATCGGGGCCGGCGTCTCTGTCGGTGCCTTTACCTTGCTGCCGCTGCTCACCCCGCGACGGGGTCTCTGCTTCGGGGCCCGGAGGGGAGCGTCGGAGGCGGGCGATCCCGGTCGGTTCTCGGGGAGCGGCTGCCTGGGCTTTCGGCGGTGGGTGGCCTTGCGGATGGTCGACTGCACGGCGTCGAGGAACCTGTTCGTCTTGCGCGTCGTCGTGGGGGGGCCGGCAGGGTGGCGGTAGCGGTGGGGGTGGGAGGATTGGGGACGGCAGGGGGGGCAGGGGGGGCAGGAGGAGGATGAGGAGCAGCAGCAGCAGCTTGATGAGGAGCAGTTTGAAGAGTATGAAGATGAGGGTAGTGAGCACGGCCGGCCGGCGACGGCGGCTGCGACGCAGAGGGGAACCGCTCCTTGATGGGCGAGCTGAGAGACATGCCCTCCACCTTGGGGAGCTCCGTGTCCGACATGGACCCGCGCGCCGCCAGGAAGCTGGGCTGAGGGTACCCGAGGAAGTGGGCGTCCAGGCTGCTCGGGTCGATGTCGCTGGGCGTCGGGCCAAAGTGCGAGCTGCTGGAGAGGAAGTCGAACTCCTCCGTCGTCGACGACCCTAGACTATCGGGCAGTGCCTGTTGTTGGTACTGGTCGTGGAGCTGTAGGTGCTGGGGCTGATACCGATGCTGTTGATCTTCTTCTTCGTCTTCTTCTTGTTGTTGCTGTTGCTGTTGCTGCTGAGGTTGGTGATCGCCCACCATGAGGGACGACTCCGGTAGTCGCGGCACCGTGTGATCACCCATGACCGAGTTCGGGGTGGCATCGGCCGTGACCGTCATGGAAGGGGTGACCATGGCGGACGAGTTGCCGTCAAAGTCGACGAACTGGCCGAAGAAGTCGTTGGAATCGTCACCCGTGACCCCGTCCAGCTCCTGCCAGAAGAAGCTGGGTTCGCGATCCATGGCCTCTGTCCGGTACTGCATGGTCCACGAGGCCATGTTGCGCGGCGTGGCTGCGTGGCTTCTGTTGCTACTGCTGCCCAGCGAGAGCGACGGCGGCCTGTTTCGCCTGACGGCTAGGCAGCCTCTAGAAGGAGGAGTAGGAGGAGGAGGGACTGTGAATGCACCGGCTGGTGGTGGTGGTGATGGTAGCCGCTCCTGTATAGCGGAAACGAAAGCGTCGACTCTACTATCGTCGTGATGATGCAATGGCTGCTGCCGCTGCTGCTGCTGCTGCTGTTGGTGTTGCGAAGTTTGTTGGTGGTGATGATCTGCTGTGTAAGTCTGAGGGAGTCGTTGGTGTAAGTGCGCCGCCACCACCATCGGTGGCCGGCCATCAATGTCAACAAAACAACCAGGGGGATCCATGGTTGCGTTCGTACACTGGTGGGCTGCAATGTCGCAGATGGGAGGGGTGTGTATGTGTGTGTGTGGGAGTAAGAGCTAGCTAGGTATGAGTGGGAGTTAGGTAGCAACAGCAACGGACGAGACCTTCACAGTCAAAGAGAGAAATCCATTGAGGGAGAGAAGCGAGAGAGCAGCGGCAGCGGCATACCGGGCAAAGATATGTGAGGAATGCGCCCGAGTCTTGACGTATACCGGGTGCATTCCAGTCAAGCCGTCCCAATAGCCGACCTGGCAAAGAAGAGGTGGGGG